TCTCTCTCTACACATACATATATATATATATATATATATATATATATATATATATCATACATACAAGACGACGGAGTTTTGATAATGACAATGCATTTTTCAAATTATCTTTGAATTCAATTTGTAAAAATGTATAAGGTAAGGAATGTACTTAAAGGAGACATAAGCTCCTCTTAGACCTGTGACATATTGTAACAATGAGAGGAAAAACGAAATGATTATATAATGCTTTTTCTTTGTTGCCATAGTTTGTACTTCACGTTTACTTGAGGATTTATTTTCTAAGCCGACGAGCATGGTTAAATAATTTGCTGATTTATATTGCGAATACATATAATTAGTCATGATGTAAATGTGTATTATATTTATCCTTGTTTTAACTTTGCATTTTAATACGCAGGCATGCAAACTTATTTGTACATTATGCAGACAATACTGTTTATAGCACTCTGTAATTTTATTAATCATGTTTATTGACAATTTCATCATTAACATACATTGGATTACTTTAATGTATTCAACCAGGTTCTAATCTATGGAATGAAAATGCATTGATTTATGCCGAAATGAAACTAAACTGTACTTTTAAAAATGGTTTGTATTCTTTTCGATTCAATAAACAACTATGGACAAAATAATATATAATGTTTGTGTGTTTTGAAATTTTCCTAAAGAGGGTTATTGTCCTCTGGGTATTTGGTCGTTTGGGTAATAGTCTTGGTTTGATTGTCCTGCGCGTCATTGCTCTAAGGGGGCTATTGGTCCTGAGGGGTTAATATTATTGTCTTAGGGGGTAAATTCCCAGGAAGGGGTGGGGGGGGGGAGATTTGTCCTAGGGTATAATTGTCCTCAGGTGATCATTTTCACACTGGCTTACTTATCCTAGGGTGTAACAATATGAACTCACTCCTCGAAATGTAGAGATTCCTTGAGACAGACAATGACGATCGTGTCTAGAATCTGAGTTCGATCTCAAACCTTGTTAACACATGACCCGCTCATCTTTCAAAGAGTGTTAACCTGTTGACTGCTGAATTATTTCATCCCCCAGGCGTAATACAGGAGCTACCCGGTTCCAGCTGACAATAGGTAAACATTTGGCTTGTAGTGTCTCTTATTTGCGGCAATTGTTTTGCTTAATGTATTCGTTTTTTGTATTATACTGCTTATATCATGGTTGTTATAGCGATTTCTTGTTAAACAGTGTTCACATTGCTGAAGAAGCCAACGTGAATAACACTAAAGGCATATAAAACACATGAATAAATAATAAAAAATGTGAATACATAAATAAAGAGATTAAAATAATAAGATAATTACAATAATGATAATAATTATTTAAACTTATGAAATAAGTTAATAAGATCGATTGATCGATCTGTAATTACTGGGTGTAAGCCACAAATATGTTAAAATAATTGAAATTCTTCCCAGGAAGCATTCCATTTATACAAATGATAATAATGTTTAAACAAAAAATAGGAGCAACGCAACAACATAGTGGAACGGAGCTCACTCTATAAGAAAATTATAGTTCCTTTAAGAAAGTGATGAAGAAAAAAAAATTGTATGTGACTGAAAGCGAGATTGAAAAGAAATTCGACAATGTACTAGTTGACGTCCCTACAAATTTAAAAGGATATACATGGGATAATAAACTGTTGTAATCCAATTCCGGATTTTTTCCATTCAAATTCATGAACGTGCATTCAAGTTAATTTATTGGCACTCTTCTTCATGTTTGGTGAAATCAAATTAACGAATATGCGTACAAATACCTATTCCGTGCATTCACATTAACGCGGCGCTTACGATGAGCCTGTTAAGGCATTTAATATCATTTTGGTGACCAATTTCTACTACGTGCAGTCAATTTAGTATAATATTCAACTGGATTCCAAATATTAAAGCGGTAAACTTTGATTTATTTCAATTGATTACCAGGAATTTTATGGTATTCACTGTTACACAATGAAATCTCCATAGTTTAGTTAATGTTCTTTGTTGATCTGACAATTGTTGCCTTTTGATCATGTATTTTATTATCATATGTTAATTATGTACTTTACAGGGCCCGCGGAACGGCAGGGCTTGGGGAATTTATTCCCCCCCCCCCAGTCCTTTGTATAAAGTATGTTAAAGAGAAATAGAAAGAAATACCCTATATCTTTAATGGTTCAAGTGAAAAAAAAGAAAAAAATCTGCTAACGGAGAACTGACTTTATGTATTTAGGTTTGTCATCGTTAAGGAGGCGTAAGCGTAAAGGAATTTAACCTAAACGTCGTCTTTTAGATACTAATATCAATGAAAATCTTTGTCGATCGTGTAAGTTATTAAAGGATTTTCCGGCCAAATTCGCGTGTTTGTCATTCGAATTCATTTACTTTGCATTTAAGTTAGCGCAGATTGGCTTTGCCATGCCAATTATCATTCAATTTTCCAGTTTTTGTATTTAATTTAGGATTTTGGTCGAAGGGTTTCATAGATCTGTCATTCAATTTAGAAACTGCACAACTAGCATTCAAATTAATATTCACTTGTCGAAGCGTAATTTTTATCATTCAAATTAACACCTGTCATTCGTATTCGTAATATTTTTATTCAAGTTAGGAATGTTAGGAGGAAGAATTGCAACAAACTTTTATAGTTTTAAATAATGCAGTTAAAATGCATGATTTGCCATTGGGGTCTAAGCTGTTATTCCATTTATTTATTTTCAGGACAATGCAGATGGGTGTAGTCAGACATAAAGTGAGAAGGGGCGAAATCAAAGGATATGGCATTTCTGCACGGACATGTTCATATACCCGGGAAAGGTGGGGTACCCTCGATCGCCCCTATTTACTACAGACTCGGAATTTTTTTAAAGTAATTCACATCGTCTCTTATACCCAGGACACCCCTCTGTTTTTCTTAAAGAGTTTCATAGTTTACTTGCCCGCCAGCAGATCGATGGCTAAAGACATGTTCAATTTTTTTTTACTCTAGTCCCTACCCCATCACAATATTGTACCCTTCTTCCATAATGAAATTATGATGAAATTATGATAAATTTATGATGAAACATAAGACAAACAACTTCCGTACATGAACATTTACAAATATACTGAGACCATCAGGTCCGTAGATGCAAGTCGTTTTTTTCTTCTTAACAATCAAACTTAAATGCTGATGAATATCAGATAAATCTAATAAGTGAAACACACATGAAAAAACAACCTTGAAAGAAAAAGAATGAGCTATAAAAAGTGTGTAATAAACAAGAAATGTATATTGACCATCAATGTCAGTGCACAAAGTGCTAATTTGAATGCTACAAATGAATTAGAATGCTAAAAGTACACCGTCGTGTTGTCAGAAAATCGTGTTGCGCCAACTCGAATGACCAAATAGCGAAAGAAGCACATTGTTCATTAATTTGAATGAAACATACGTAGATTCTAACGAAAATTCCATAAATTTGAAAACTAGAAAAGAGAATATAAACCCGAGATATACCTGACTGCACTAAAACCGTCGAATTTGAACGCAAGACAAATTAATTTGAATGACAAACTCGCGAATTTGGCCGGGAAATCCTATAATAATTTTGAACTAAAGTGCCTAAAAGTTGCATTTAGTGACATTACGTGTGTTTTCAACTATTGACCAATGACATTAATAGAGTGACCTGCCAGTGTCTAAAAAAAAATATCTGATTATGCTCATCTGACCGTAAATAAATACAAAAAACGGCTGAGCTTTACAAAAACATGAATATAGAACTAATGATTAGTGCCAAAGGCCAACATTTTCTCGTCATGTGACCGATGGCTGACATACACATTTCCGTCATTCGGAGGACAACATCCGCCCCAAAGGTACCATTGCACTTTTCTCCCAACCCAGAACAGGATATTCTTGCACCCACTAGTGTACCAGTGGTGGTAGTGACGAGGGGGTGGCTCGGGGTAGTTCTACGCCCAAAAGCATTGTAAACAAAAGAAGGAGAAAAAAATAAAAAGAAAGAGCCAACAAAAGTAAAACGAGAAGAAACAAAATTAAAGGGAAAACAATAATGGGTTTTCACTTTCACACCTGTTACATTTTTCCAATTTTTGTATTCAAATTTGACAAATTTACATTGATTACGTCTCACATAATTATAAGGTTTCAACTTCATGCTCATCTGACTGTGATGAAATGCCTGAAACACCCTTAGCTTAGGGGGGCTCCGTCCCCTGAGAGCCCTACGCCAATTTACGCTCTGCTCGCTACCTTCTACCTGATCGTAAATACTTCAGCCCCCCTCCAACCCCCGTTTTGTAGGGACTGCTTAATTCGTATATTACTTTCTATTGTAATGAAAAATAAAGAAAAATATATAAAGATGCAGGATAAAAAGGACATGACTAGGGTTATGGCGTCGATCATGTTTGATAAGGGCTTTTATTTTTGTATGTGTCCCTTTTCTCCCAATACACTGCGTGTCCGAAATACTCATTGAATGCTTTCACGTGATGTTTGTGATTCATCAACATTAAACAAAAATGTATAAATATATATTTGTTGGCATAAGAGTAGAAAGTAAAGCAAGAGGTTTGGATTCCAAAGGGGTGCAAAATAATTTGCGAGCTCGTTCATTGTTTTGTGCTAGAGTGGATAATGAGCATATATAAAAGCCCTCCCCCCCCCCCTCTCCAACACAAAACAAATAGATAAATAAATAGATGAAGAAAAAAACTCGCTCCTCAAATACCTGCATAATTATTTAATGTTTACAGGGCCCTGTTTAATAAGAATTTGTTAGCAATAGCAAGTTTTGATAACTGTTATAAGCTACTAAAAACGTCGCATTTGATTGGCTCACTGTACAATTGTCATAACAAAGAGATTTTGTTATACGCATGTAACATGGTTTATGAAGCAGGGCCATCGAGGATATACTTTCGTTCGATACGTACCATAAAGTGACACGTCACCGAAGTACATCACAATCAGCACAAACGCGCTTCGAGAGGAAGCGATTTTCATATATACGTTTAGAATGTTGACATCGACTCAATTACCGAGCAAATCAGGGTGGATCCCATGCAGTCATTCGAAATTTTCCTTTCACAAGTTGATAGAAGATTTTTACAAACTACTGAAGTTATTTCCGCATCCTTGTCTCTTTTATTCAGCGCTTATTTCACTTGGTAAGTTAAAGAATAAAACATAGTTCCAGGCTATTTGATTTTGATGAAAACAAAACAAACTGAAATATAAGTTTTAATCATTTATATGTTTTCTTAAAAGTAGAACAAAGTCTTAACAGCAGTTTGTAGAAAGAGTATGAAATCAAACTTGCATAATCGTTTGCTTTAAAATCCTAGCCTTAAATTTGTTTTTATGTTTATCTGTTTGTTTGGGTTTGTTTGTATTTGTTAGTTGGATGTTTTTTCCCCCATGTTTAGTTTCTTTGCGACCAATAAATCATTTATACTTTCTCATAGTATATTTTTATTTATTTCTGAACTTCATTAATATGATATATGATTGTGTGCGTTGATATACGAATGCTTTAGAAGAGCGCTTTAAGCCAATGCATTAATTGTATTCCATTGTATTGTGGTGTACTTTTGGGCTATGTTTCAGAGTTGAAATTAATAATAATATGTATGTAAGTATATACAGTATTGTACTACATATATTTCTTTTTGACTACCTGAACTGTCGGCTTACTTTGTTTGAAAGAGTATCTTTCGCGAACAATGGAGTTTCCCAACTTAAAAAAAATAATCTTTATACAATATATGTTGCAACTTCATTTAACATATTCTTTTTTGATTACCTAAACTGTCACTTTACTTTCTTTTAAATATAGGTTTTTGCGGCCAGTTTCAAACTTTTTGTTTGTTATAGTTCATATTCTGAGCATTCGAATTCATGCAAACTCGCAGCGTTAAATCAGCTTTCAAATTAAAAATTCGTTCATTCTTATTTATTATCCGTGCAATCAATTCTGGAGCGGATCCAGGCAGGGGCATGGACAGCCCGTGCCCTCACCCTTTTGGCGGCTGAAAAAAAAAGGAATAAAGAAATAAAAATAAAGAGAACAGGGGAAAAATCATGCATATGGCACATATCATGAAAATGTCATTGACGGGATATTGCTAATATATCTTTTAAAGGTAATACAAAGTTTTGGGAAATTTTAAAAATTGGGTGGACAGTCATTCTATACAATTTTGATATATTTGGATGCCCCTTTGGATGTATTATAAGCACTAGAAAATTTAGCCCCTAATACACTTCTGCTTTCGAGAAAAATTGAATACAAAAAAGTAACGGTGCTCCCGGTAAATTTTGATGAATTTCAAAAAGCGCCTACAGCCGTACAAATGGTAGCAGTGACCATGAAAATCTCAGAATATGTAGTTGTGATATAAATTTCCAAACAGGAATAGCTTATCGGTCGATTTTAGTCGAGAAACATTGTTCTATAGCTTAATTAATATCTTGACCTTGAGAGGGAGCTATACAACATAAAGAGTTTATTATGTTATTTTCATAACTTTAAACTCGATTTCAACCGCGACAATGATCGCTGAATATTTTTGGATCGCATATGCTTCCAATATGTCCATTTGAACCAAAATCATGACTTCATACCAAAACTTTGTAATACCTTTAAGCTTTCAAGAAGTATAGGTGTTTTATCCAAACTCAGATATCGTATATCCGCCAATCTATATTGATAAACTATATATTTTACAAAAACGTACAATATGACTGATTAAACAGAGTTACTTTCATAATCCCACTCTACCACTATTTGTTATATTAACAATTATCTCAGAGTTTGACATATTATAACTTAATATATCAGAATTCATGTTTAAGTATCACAACAAGGAGTTTTCAGTATTTGTTGATACTATGTTAATTCTTCATTCAATATGTATTACACTACTACAAGGGATAATCTTTGTGTTCCCATCACCCTTTCAGCTATAAGACCACATTTTATCTGTTACAGGAGTAGATGCATGGAATTCAACGTGTAATAACTCAAGGTCAAGCTCTGCACTTTCTCGTTTTAGAACTATATTCTTTTTTTGAAACGACATTATCCTTGAATGAGTAAACCCTTTCTTATATTTCTCATTCTCACCTCTTCCCTTTCCGCTCTTTGTCATTCCCACCTCTTCCGTTTCTTCTATTTCTTTGTCTCACCTCTTCCCTTTCCTCTCTTTCCCATTATAGACTCTCCTTTTTCTTGTTTTGCTCTTGTGTGTGATTGTTGGTATGTGCATATTTATACATGGGGGAATCCTGCTGATAGTTAATGGTCGGTCATATTTGTGTTTCTTCTTCTTAATAATACGTACGTATATCTATATAGTAAGTTTGATTTATTTCGCCGTCTAATTTCATATTGTGATTAACTTGATAGGGGCCTCATGTTCAAGGACAAACTGGCCTATTATTCATTCTGAATTTATGATTTGTAATGTTTGGTTATGATGCCAAATAAATTGAATTACCATAACATTTAATTTAGAGGAATACGATGAATGCTGATTTGTTCTGACAACGTAAACTTTGTCAAAGGCAATATTTCATCTCTCTCTCTCTCTCTCTCTCTCCCTCTCTCACCCTCTCTCTATCTCACTCTCCCTTCTCTGCCGTCTCTTCCCCTCTCCCTATCTCCTCTCTCTCTCTTTGTCTTACTTTTAATTTATACATTATTTTGTAATAGTTCCCAGGGAGTTTTGTAGACTTTGTTGATCCCTGGATCATCTGAGGTGACCTCTGCTCTTAGATGAGGAAAGAAAGATCACGAGAGTTGAACATAACAGGAAATATCACCCAATTAGGCCTACTTTGTGAAAATATCGGGAAAGTCCCCGAACATGATCTTGCCAACAGTCAGACAAGAACCCAATGACTTTTACAAGCTGATCGCTTGTCTGATTATGAAGATATTTATGAGTGAAAATCAAAGTTTAAAATTTCGTTTTCCTAACGAATTCTATAATTGCAGTATATTTGGAAAAATAGGTATGGAAAAACCGGTCACTCAAAGATTTTAACTTTTGGGGGGCATGCACTCCATAAACATTTCGAAGCGCATTTGTTTAGGGCTTTAATATTATACCATATAACAGACACTAACAACGCGTTATAGCCATGCATCTAAGATTGAAAATTGTTAAAACGATGCCTTTAACAAAATTACTCTTTTAGCACAAAATCCAATACAAAATATTGCTCAAAGCGCTTCGAATACAAAAACATGAACAACAACTTGATAAGGAAAAACAAATTTGGAGAGTATGTCTTTAAGATCTCTCGATCTTTCTCTCCCCTTTCTCTCTCTGTCTCCACTACAGGTTTGCAACATGAGTTCAAACTTCACCATCAGCCTGTTTCTACTTGCCGCAATCGCATGCCTGTCCCAAGGATGCTGTCCTGAGAGATTCATGCAAGTCGGTAACCGGTGCTATTATTACAACTCCGACAAGGTGGATTGGCACGATGCACGCCATGCATGCAACCGACTTGGGGCGCATCTAGTCAGCATCCACAACTATGAGGATAGTAGAGAGGTCTATGTTCTATGGAAGAGTTTAGTCGATGAGAGTTGGGACAAGGTGAATAGTAGATGAGTATTGTTTTCTTAAATGTATGGGGGAATGATGATCTGATTGGCAAAATGTAATTTTAAAAAGAGGGTGTTGGGTGGGGTATATGTACAGCTCGAAGGAGATACAGAGGTCTATGTTTATGTTATTAAGAAAAAAAAGAGGGGGGGGGGGGCAAAAGAGAGCATGAGCCACTAGCTACAGGTTACATTCAATGCAGTGTAGATGCGTTTGACTTAATTTTATTGTTTTCATTGTATAAAGTATTGTTTGATGTTTTGTATAACTTGTTATTCTGGTTACAATAAAATCGAATAAAATCGCTAAAAACGCTTAAGATTGGGGATCACGCTAAAGCCGGTGTTTCTAAAATATGAACTTTCATCCACTTTTAATAATTCTGTCAATTAAGTATGAATTGAATAATGCAGCGGCTTACCAAGATAATTGTGCACTTTTTGAGAAAAGGAAGAAATTTCTCGCATAATATTTATTTTCAGATGTGGAGGGAAGTCAGATTTGACCTGTGATGACCCTGAGATGTCAAATCCAAAATGGCCGCCAGTCCACATGGTCTAATGTACAAACAAGCTTAACTTTTAAACCAAATAGTCAAGAAAAACGTTTAAGGTGTCATTTCCAACTTAATAGGGGCCGGTGCCAATTCATTTGGTAATACTTTTGAGATCGACAGAAGTCAGGGATTTCCAAACAGGTCAAGGTCAAGGTCAAGGCCAAATTAGGCTAACAAAGTGACTTGTTTATCCCTCCACTACACAGTAGCGTACACGTATCGCGTTATCTCAAGAACCGATTGATGGATTCCCGCCAAACTTGGGTCATGTGAATCTTAATTGCAGAGTCAATGCAAACCGACTTCTGAATCGTCGACAGTTACCACCACTTCCAGCCTACACGGACAGCCAGCAAATGGCCTCTACATTCATCCACTTCTTCCAGACGAAAGTCAAGACCATCTGCGACAGTTTATCACCTGACGAAACACCACACCATCCCCTTAATTCCTCTTCCTTCCTTTGAAGTAATACAACCTACTACCCCTAATGAGATTATGTCACTCTTACGTAAACTACCCCCCAAATCATGTCAGTTAGACCCTGTTCCCACAAAATTATTAATGGACTGTTCCTCCACATTCGCTCCCATCCTTTCTTACTTGAACTTGAGTTTAGAGCAGGCACATGTTCCTTCCTCATTGAAAATAGCTCATGTTACTCCGTTGTTGAAGAAACCTTCTCTGGACCGAAATTCCCTCCAAAATTATCGACCAGTTTCAAACCTACCTTTTTTGTTCAAAATTCTTGAAAGGGTTGTGTTTTCTCGTCTTTCGGATTATTTTCTGGACAATGATTTGTTCGACCCTTTCCAGTCAGGTTACAGAACCCATCATAGTGTGAAAAAACTGCTTGTGAATGTGTCCAACTACATTCTGCAAGGGATGGATAGGGGTGACTCAACTGCTCTCCTGCTGCTAGACTTGTCCTCCGCCTTCGACACCGTTAATCACACTATCCTTTTGAACACACTTAGTTCACTTGGTGGCAAGGGTGAGGCATACAAATGGTTCGAGTCTTATCTCTCATACCACTCTCAGATCGTTTGTATTAATGGTTGCAAATCAGTTGCTTTGCCTCTCTCCTGTGGAGTACCACAGGGTTCTGTGGGCGTGCCCAATCTTTTCTCAATTTATTTAATTGGATTGCGACAAGTTTTGTTACAACATGGCATAGATTATCATATTTATGCAGACGATATTCAACTTATGATTTCCTTCAATTCAGATCAAGCCGCTGCAGAACAAGCCGTTCATCGCCTTGAATCTTGCATGGCTGATGTTCTTGATTGGTTGCTCGCACGTTCCTTGAAATTAAATTTAGACAAATGTGAATTCCTTATATTTGGTTCCAAAGTACAGCTTAGTAAAGTTAATATCAATTGCATTTCATTTTCTAGCCACATAATTCACTTGTCACAAACGTGTCGCAATCTCGGTGTTATGTTTGACTCACATATGACAATGTCTAACCAAGTTTTTAATATTTGTAGATCAGTAAGGTACCAATTGCGTATTAAATATCGGTTTTATTCGTAAATATTTGTCCAAGTCTGCCACCGAAAAATTAGTTCATGCTCTGATTTCCTTCCGTCTTGATTTTGGCAATGCCTCCTAATCAATCTACCCCAGAATCTACTGTCCAAGCTCCAGAAGCTTCAAAACGCTGCAGCTCGTATTGTTTCTCTGACCACCAAGCGTACCCACATTTCCCCAGTTTTGCAGTCGCTACACTGGCTCCCAGTAAAAGATCGCATTGTTTTCAAAATTTTGTTACTTACCTTTCATTGCGTTCACTATGGTGGCTCTGAAGGGACATCGCGAATCGACTAAATCGTGAACTTTTCACGATAAAGTTCACGATATCGTGAATTTTATCGCCAATTTTTCACGATGAAATTCACGAAATTCACGATATCGTCAATTTCGTCGTGAAAAATTGGCGATAAAATTCACGATATCGTGAACTTTATCGTGAAAAGTTCACGATAAAGTTCACGATAAAATTCACGATTTCGTATATTTTATCGTGAACTTTATCTTAAACTTTTTTCTCCTGGCTTGGGCGCTTCGTAAACAAAACCAGCCCTAGCTGCTTGATTGAATGAAGACGATTAAATATTATGACGAGACGTTTTTACGATGATTTCTGTGAAAATGGTAGGTTTAACTTCATATTATGCTCTATTTGTATTTTATCTTTGACAAGATAGGGATAAAAGTAATTGCACAGCGGAAAAATTACCCGGTATGCAATTAATTAATGGTCTAACAGTTGGAGATGCACTGTTTTTTCCCATACATTCATTTCCATGTTGTAATAGACTATTGAGTAATGTAATTGATCTAGATCTAGGCCTACTTTTATTAGTAGGCCTACGTACTAGCACACTCAATTTCTCAAACTGAGTCAACAAAGACTGACAGAGTCGATGTAGAACTAATACTAATAAGTAATAGGTAGCAGCGGCTAGCAGAATATAATAGTAGCATTCTAGTGCACTAGTAGACCGAATTTTCCGTCTCTTTCGTTCGTTAGCCTCTTGAGTCTTATTGGGGTAGGGTCGGCTCCCTCTCTTATTGGGGTAGGGTCGGCTCTCACTTTAGAGAGAGCCGACCCTACCCCAATAAGAGGCTAATGAATGAGAGAGACAGAAAATTCGGTCTAGTGCACTAGCTGCATCTACATGTAGACTATAGGCTTCAGTGATTATTGCATTGGCAGACATTTTATTTTTAATATTTTTTTCAATGCTTGCAACAACATGAATTATTAATTAAGCTAGGGCCTAGCCTAGGTCACTCCAGTAAAGCATAGGAATTCCAGACAACTCGCCACAAAGACAACCCGCCCCAAGACAACCCGCCACAATACCCTGGACAACTCGCCACAGGCGAGTTGTCCAGGGTGGGGTGCCTTTTCGGACAACTCGCCACACTTTTTTCCCCTCATGATTTCTAGATTTAAAATCCCTCATCTTAGATGAAATTGTCATTTTTCATGATTTTCGTGCTTTTATAAACACAGTCATTACAAAGAATAAAGAATAAAGCTGATTTCCCTTGCAACAATAATATATTTTTGACAAACCGAAGGCGTACGATCGCCATATCATTGGGATAACTTGGTATTTAGATCTCGAGGTCTATAGCAGCTGCATCTTTCTGTCTCAGAAATTTTTAATGGTAGGATACTGGAAGCACTGGTGTACTGATGAGGGGGGGGGGGGGTATTTGACATGCGAAATAAAATTGAAATGTGATCTATTTCTAGATTTTCTGGGTTAGTTTCGTCAGAGGCGGCATTCTTCATTTTCAGATTCCCCTAAAGGGCCCCTTTATCCTTTGTACATGTCCTTTTTCTCTTCTGATAATTTTTAATGGTAGGAATTCATGAAAGGGTACTGGAAGCACTGGCGTCCTGATGGGGGAGGGGGCAGTTGACCCGCGAAATAAAATTGAAATATGGTCTATTTCTAGATTTTCTAGGTTAGTTTCGCACAGTCCAAAATAGATTCTTGTTGCGGGTCTTGTTGCAAGCGCAAGGAAAATCATCTTTATTCTTTAGAACAGCTCTCAAAATACTCACAATTTCCATGTTTCCTGTCATGACAGTGTTTATAAAAGAATAATGAACAAATAAAATGACAATTTCATCTAAGATCATGAAGATGAGGGATTTTAGATCTAGAAATCATGAGGGGAAAAAAGTCTGGCGAGTTGTCCGAAAAGGCACCCCACCATGGACAACTCGCCTGTGGCGAGTTGTCCAGGGTATTGTGGCGAGATGTCCAGGGTATTGTGGCGGGTTGTCTTGGGGCAGGTTGTCTTTGTGGCGAGTTGTCTGGACCCCAAGCATAGTAGCACTAGTAGACCTCTATAGCGCTGCATAGGTGCTGAGAGGGCAATCGATTGCACACAATTACACACTCGTGAACACAATGAGTACGAAGTGGCTGATATGATCGGCAAGTTTGACAGTAGACTCGCGATTTTAATTTTCAAAGAATTTTTTCTAACATCGGTTAGTTGAAAAGACTATTTTACTGCTATATAGGTGTCATCAATTGTCACTAAAGTACCAATTTATTTTGAGTGATCTCCGTTGAGTTTTGTACAGTGTTGTTTAAAATGTTGAGAATCAATCTATAGAGGTAATACAAAAAAGTACACTAATGCTGCTATGTGTGGCCTAGGTCGGATATTGTTTCCAGAGTGATGGTACTGCAACTGCAGAGCAGGGTTTGAAAGATATTTATTTAAAAAATAAACCAAAAATTGTACATGGCCAGGCCCATGCATGCAGACACGGACTGTTAACCGTGGTAACACTAACAATATGTAAAACTGTATCGGAGCTTGGAGATAATTGATAATTTATGACACTGATGCAGTGATAGATCCAAACTTGTGGAGCAAAATCAAACTTGTCTTC